GACTTCCTTAACCCTAACACTCGCGATTTTGCCGTCGAGATTTCTTCTCCGCTTTCGCTGCTCTCTACTGCCGCTACCACTGTCGCTAGTCGCCGCTGCCACAATCGTTGCTCGCCGACTTCTCACTGCTGCCACAATCGTCGCTCGTCACTGCTGTCGTCGCTCGCCGCTCCCACTCCCGCTATCGCTCGCGGCTCCCGCTGTAGCTGCCGCTTGCCGCTCCCGCTCCAGCTACCGCTGTCGTTGCCTCAGTAGCCTTGGTCTTTTCACACTCTTCTCACTATACTGTTAACAATATATTAACAGTATACTGCTTACTGTATACTAATAATAGTATTTTTATTTATTAGATTAATAATATATTATTTTGATTTTAATGCTATTAATTTTTATTTATTTAAAATTATTGTTAAGTTTTAGAATAAATGGCAAGCGTATAGAGCAACTCAATAGATTTGATGTAAAATTTTATTGTTTTGATTTTTGAGACTTTTTATTAATATGATATTGTGATTTTGTACCCAATTTTCTTAATTTAATAGTATATTTTTTTTATTTAAATAATTTATGTTAATTATATTATATATTTTTATATTTTAGCGTCTCGCTTCGCTCGGGCGAGCGCCTGGCGCCTGGCGCCTTGGGCGTTTTTGGACTTTAACGCCTTTTGGCGCCTAGCGCTTTTTAAATCACTGGGTGACATCGTCTTGCCTGGGGAGAAGAGAGGCGACGTCACAGATTTTTTTTCTTATATATATATATATGTAGATTTTTTTCTTTTATATATATATATATATATATATATATATATATATATATATATATATATATATATACGCAGCGGTATACCGAAATATATCGCTCGGTATACAGTATCATACCGTACAACGTATCTCGAAACTCCAGTATAATACGATATTTCAATCCTTGCTCTAGATTGATTTTAGAGGTGATCACCATTTTGTGATTTTTAATTTGGTTCATGACTACATTTTCTCCATGTAATATTTGCATATTGGATGGTCCTATTTTGTTTAGTCAATTCATACTCTTGAACTACTTATGTAACAGCATAAGATCATGGTTACTCAACTGTGGTAGTGTGGTTGCTGTTCCTATTCACTTTCATATTTTTATTCATTCCTGGTATCCTTGTCTCTTACAATGAGAAATTTTATTTGTTTAACAATTGGGTTTCATTACCTTGAGCTTTTTCTATGGGGTTGAGGTGTCATTAGAGAAGTTTTATTTATGAATTGAATACACCTGCTTCATCAGTTTGGTGGGCTGCAGTAGGTTAAGTAGGTTTCGGATCATGATTTTTCAACCATTTTGGAAAACTGACCCTTTATGTTAGCATACACAGACCCAACTAACTTGTTTTAGTAGACCACTTTGCAAGGTAATGTGTATTTAAGGCTAACCCTTTCTATCGTGTAATTTACTTTTTCCATTGACATGTACATAAATATCCTTTATAATTACATTGAAATATTAAAATTATCAGTTTGTATGAAAAATTGTGTTCTTTGCAGATGATCCTGAGCTCCCTCAAGTGCAACGGCATCGTGCTTTTTTGAAGGAGCATGTTGTTTTCAAGGAGGTCATATAATTGAAAAATGCATCACAACTGACTTGCTCATGAATTTGGTGAATTCTAAGTTCCTTGTTTCTTTTCCAGGCCATCCCTATCAAAGACTCGTCTGTCTTGTCAAAGATTCATCAAACTTACAGAGTTGCTTATGTAAAGGTCATTATTTTCCTTGGTTATTGACTTGGATCTTTCTTACTTGGGGCCTTATAATTGTTGTAATAATTTTAGGATGTGATTTTGGCAAGGGTGTTGGATGAGGCTACAATAGCAAGTCTTAGCTCAATCATTCATGGAAATAATTCTTTTGTGAGAATCTCAATCTTTGTTCTTTGATTATTTTTAAAATAGTTGTGAGATTTATCTGGTATTCAAATTGTGGTAACGATTTCGTTTTAGGTTATTTCTTTGTTGAAAGATGATACTTCTTTTATACAAGAATTATTTGCAAGGATGAGATCAACATCCACTTCAGCTGAATCAAAAAGGGAGTTGGTATGATAATATCTTTTCTAGATCATTTGGGAACTTTCAAGTAAAGCAGAGGTTTCTCAATATGTTTTTTTAACCTTGTATTATTCACCGTGCTGATATGTAGTATTGTGAATTGAATATTTCTGTCAGTAGTTTTTTGATAAAACTAGTAAATCAATTGCTTACAATGCGTGCCTTTTAAGTAATGATCAGTGTCAAATTTTGTCCTTACTGAATAGCTTTGCCTTTTAGCTTATATTCTAAAGTATTTTCAGCTAAATCTGTTGATACTAATATTTTGCATCGTATTATATTTTTGTTGCGGATAATGATTCTTTTTCACAACTGCTTATGGAGTAAAAAAGTTATAATCTTGATGCATTCCAGTGGAAAGATGCAATCCGAAAATTTTGTTCTTATGGAATAATTTTGCTTCTTAGCTTATATTATAATATGTTTTTAGCTAAATTTGATGACACTTGCAATATTCCCATTGTATTATATTTCTGTTGAGTATGATCTTTTTTTCTCAACTGCTTATGGAATTCAAAAGTTATAACCTTGATGCTGCAATCCATTAGAAAGATGTACTCCTTGCAATATATTTTGCTTGTCACATTAGTACTTCAACTATTGATTTTTTTCTCTATTATATCTTTTCAATTATAAATAAAATAGCATTTTGAATGGCCTGGTCCTTGATGGGTAGAAAATGGCCTTCATGGACTCACTATGCCTTTTGCAGCTATTATTCTTAATAGTTTCCTAATGTATTATTGAGTTGTGGTGCCAACATAATGGTGACTTGTCAGACTGGTAAATATTGCTCATACCAAACTGTACCAGACTAACAGGCTGATTAGACTTGTATACAGTTTGGTACTGATTCTAATGAACTACCCAACCGCTTGATAGTGCACCACCGATTCATATGGATGTTAGTGGCAGGTCATGATATTTCGTGCTCAAATATGCAATCAGTATTTTTCTAAGAGCTGGATAACAGATAATGAGAGAAACTAAAGCTTACAGATGGAGATGCTTCTTTAGATGGATTATAAGACTGGAAATAAAAAGAAGAAAACTCAGCTTTATTTTCTATTTCTGCTTAGTTTAGGGCTTAGTTGTATTTAGTTTGACCCCAATGATCAAATTGATTGTTGGGGCTTATTTTGGCGCTTTAAATCCACCTCCCTTGCCCTTTATTCACTCACACTCAATGACTAATCGGTTGATTCAAGATCAATGAGAGCAACTTCCTTGATAGAGCACTCTTCAACAAAGTTATTCCTTGATGAATCGAAAAGATAAATTCAAAATTTATCTTCTTATAATCAAGAATTTCTATTCATTTATGACTTATATACACTTTATTCTTAGCTAAATATAATTTATATTACCAATAAATTTTTAAAAAACTCTAAAACTAAAATTTTATTTTCCCACCATTTTTTGGTCATTTTCTCGAAAACTAGTACATATCAGTGATTTAAAAGCGCTAGGCGTTAAAAGGCGCCAAGGTCCAAAAACGCCCAAGGCGCTAGGCGCTCGCCCAAGCCAAGCGAGGTGCTAAAATATAAAAATATATAATATAATTAATAAATATAATTATTTAAAATTTTAAATAAAAATATGCTATTAAATTAAGAAAATCTATTAACCATATTGAAAATT